GAATGCCGTCTATTGTAATCAGTCCTTCAGAGGAAAAATGTGATGCAGATGAAGAGATTATACTGGTAAATTTGCAAATGTAGACACATGGGATGGTTACAAGCAGCCATCTCAATCATATGATTTTTATATTACTCTTGTGTATATACTTTTTGTTTCTTAGTCAGAATAACCCATACATTATAGTGTGTAACGATAGAGTCATTGTGGGGTAATGATGCAATATTTGATTTTTCATTGTTGTTACATCTTTTATTTTCTTTGTTAATGCTACTAATTTTGTTGATCTCTCTCACTTCTTGTTGCAACATCTATATATTTTTTTCTCCTCTCAGCCATCAGTAAATGAAGAAGTTGATATGGCTGTATTAGCTGCTTTGCCACAGTCAATGCAACTTGATATTCTTGCGCAGGTCAGATTATACATATGATATTGCCTTCTGCAATGGATCTGGTCATTTTTCTTGTTCTTGTTATTTTAATTATTTCCCCCCCTTTAAACCAACACATTATAGACCAGCAATAAAAGATAAAATAGAATGTTTTTCAACAAATGTGATATAGTTGGTACATAACCTTGTCCCTTAAACATGTGGTCAGGATTGGATCCCTAGTATATGTGTATGGAAAAACATTTGGTAGGAGAAGTCAGTTCCTTAAATGGACAGTATTTTAGGGAATTAGTCCCTACTTTTCAGTTAAGAGATACATTGGTTCAATAACCACCCCCCCCCCCCAAACACACACACACACCCACCCACAGCCACACCCAAAAATGAGATCAAATATTTTCCTGTTTGTTAGATAATATTTTCTTGAAAGCATCATATGATATATTGGCTTGCTTACAACTCATCTACACATGATATATTGACTTTCATTTGGTTTATATGTAAAATGTCTTTTTTTGTCGATATCAGCTCAAAGGAAAGAAAACAGAAGGATTAATGAAGGAAGTTGACAACCAGAAACAACATGAGGCCATTTATCAGGGCAATGGTAAGGGGATTCTACTTGGTGAAACTGACATGGTAGGTTGTAGCTCAAGACGTGACAATGTTACATCAAGGAGTGACAATCAAGACACAATTGATGAAATGTAGGTTGCATAAAATATCAGTTAATTTTATCTTCTAATGTCATTGTTTGTTTATAAGTTATACTTGTTTTGATTGGTCTATTAGGTTAGCTGCATCTATTGCCATGGAGGAAAATGAAGAGCTAGTAAACAAGGCATCAACTTCTGTTGGGGCTTCCACCATTGAGGAAGAGGAAGGTGACTATGATGAAGATGAAGAGATGATACTGGTCAGTTCGTATTTCCAGACATTTATGTCCTTGAATTACTTAATTTGGATTGTGCTGAGATTCTAGCAACAGCTCTTGGTCATTTTTCAATTTGGTAATCTTGATATAGAAAACCACAATGGTTTTAAACTGCACTTTAATATCAATCCTTGTATTAGACTCGAGTTTGAGCACAAACTGGAAGATTGGAGAGTTCTGGAATTAATCCTGAATTTGTAGTACAGAACTCTAACACAGGCCTAAGCCCAAACTAGGAGTCTGATTCTTCAAACAAACTTCAGTAATTTACCACCCAATAAATCAGGATTGGTGAACATACATAATACATAATTGGTGTAAAATACATCACATAACTGTCCTTTCACCTTGCTTCCCCAACTCCAAACTTAAAAATTATGATCGTTATATATGCATAAAAATAAAAATATTTATATTTCTTTGCCTTTTCAGCCAGCTATGCATGGTGAAGTTGATCCAGCTGTTCTAGCCTCATTGCCACCATCAATGCAACTGGACCTTCTTGTTCAGGTAAGTGAGTTCATATAGTATGTTTTAGCTTAAGTACCTTTTACATTTTATTCTGATATCAGTGATTGCATAATTATTCTGCAGATGAGAGAGCGATTGATTGCAGAGAACAGACAAAAGTATCAGAAAGTCAAGAAGGTTTGTGAAAAGAATTATAAGTAATTTTGATATAGATAAATAGAAAACACAACCTTGTTAAAATAGAAATTTTCATGGATAGTGGTGTACACCCTTTAGACATATGTCCTCTGTGATTGTCAGTAAATGTTGGTGGTAGATATATTCATGTTGGTGTGTGCTAGTATTATCCAGACTTGTTTATTTTATTGGGAGTTCAGTTGATTTTCAGGAAAATAATTGCATAATGATTGGTTGGAAAATACTTAAAAGTGATAATAAAGTCTTTTGAGTTTGTATGCTATACGATTTGCAATTTTTGGAAGTCGTAAAGCCTTATTATTGTTAATTATTTTTACCGAACTTATAAACTGAAAGTGAGTGTGGGAATCTGTATCTAAAACTCATGCTTTCTCTAGAATTTAGTAATAGGAAGTTTCTTCTTTTATTATGGTATTGTCAATACCCTATAGAAAGCTCATGCTTTTTCTAGAAATAGGAAGTTTCTTCTTTTATTATGGTATTATCATGAGTCTAGAAACTCATTCTTCTTCATGTTTGTTAAGTGATTTAGTTTGGCACTCTGCTGATGCTTGATGGCAATTGATACTATTATCATTTCTTTTAGTTCATTTGGCATAAGAATTACTTTTCCTCAGTACTAGTTATGATTATGCACCATACTAAATATGTTATTCAACTGGTTCCTTCCAGGATCCTGCAAAATTCTCCGAGCTACAAATACAAGCTTACCTTAAAACTGTTGCTTTCAGACGGGAGATAGATCAAGTGCAGAAAGCTGCAGCTGGAGGAGTAGGTGGTGTACAGACTTCACGTATTGCATCTGAAGCCAACAGAGAATATATATTCTCGTCATCTTTTACTGGTGATAAACAGTGAGTAACTTTATTTTCAATTATTTTTTTTATTAATGAATAAATTGCAAGTTCTTAATGAATATTAGCCTTAAAATATAGCTTGGTGCTTTTCCTGTTTATTATGATGTCTTGTGGAATTTTATTGTTGACTACTTCCTTAGATTTTGCATTCCTAAATATGGCAGAGAACTTACCTCCACCAGATTAGAGAATAATAAAGATACACAACAGAAGGCACAGGGAGCACATCCTTCACAGAATCTTGAACATAGCATTGTGGCAAGAAATGATTCTAATAATTCAACTAGATTGGTTCCCAATGAACCTAGTGAGCCTGCTGATGAAAGTATTGAGACATATCTTGATGAGAGGGGTCGATTTCGAGTTAGTAGATTGAGAGCCATGGGGATGCGTATGACACGTGATATACAAAGAAATTTGGATTTGATGAAAGAGATTGAGCAGGAAAGAGCACATGTGAACAAGGCTGCAAATATTGGTACAGTGAAAAATGTGGAGAATAATGGTCCTTCGGAAAGTTCCAGGATCCAACTTGTTGATAAATCACAAGAGGTGAATGTTGACTTAGTTGGAGAGAATGTGCAAAATGAAAAAACAATCTTTGACAAGGATAATTCTATAGATATATTTTTTGAATATGATTGCAAGACTAAATTTCTTAATGGCGAGGATGATATATTTTCCAGTTTAGTAGGAGGAAATCCAGTGGCAATCATTTGTGCTGATGATAATGCAGCAACAGAGCAACCTTCTCATACTGATTCAGATTGTGATTGGGAAGAAGGAGTAATTGAAGGTAAGAATACCATTTTTCCAGAACATGATAAGGTAGGGTTGAAGTCTTCTGTTGCTGATGAGGATAATAATAATGACAGCGAAGTAGAATGGGAAGAAGGAGACTGTGATGGTGCTAAAAGCACCTTATTGTCAGGAAAATTGGCATCTCGAGGCTGGTTAGAGGAGGAGTCTGATTTGCAAGAGGCAATAAGGAGAAGTCTTGAAAGTAAAGGGGATGAGGAACTTAAACGCATGTCATCTGTAGATGAGCCTTCAAATCATTATGAGAACAAATTGGATCGTTGTTTAAAACATGGTGGTGATCAGAATTGTTCTGACCCAGTGGATTTAGATGATAACTCTGAGTTCCTGAACAATAAAAATAACATGGAGAGTTCCACTTTGTGTAGGGAAGACAGTACTGAACAAAATGAATCTCATGAAATTGAAGATGGAGATAAAAAGGATGATTTTGTTTCTGGAAATAATGCACAAACATTCCATTTTCATGGAAGTCATTCAAAGTCATCTGTAACATTTAATTCCAATAATACTGAGATATTGATCAATACACCTTGCAGTCTGGACAGTCGTTCTTGTTCTGAAGATTCAATTTCAGATAAGCATGATGGTGGTAAAGTGTCTTTCTATTGTAATAATACATCCAAATTTGATCCACTTGGTACAACAGAAGAGGAGAAAAAGAACTGTATTAATGAATCTGAACCATTGGGTATTTCTACCAACACTACCGAACCTGCTATTCTTTTAATGGATTCATCCTTGAATAAATCAACAGATAACCTTTATTTCAAGCCAAAATTTTCTCCTGAGGTCAATAAGGGAAGTTTCTATGAAGAAAGGAATACTAGCCCTGCCAATGATGTTGTTAAAACTTCTGGAAATTTTCCTGCTCATGCAGAGGTTAGCTTGGAGGAAGAAATGCAAGTTCTTGGTCAAGAATATATCAACCTAGAAAATGAGCAGAGGAAGCTAGAGCGGAATGCAGAATCTGTAAACAGTGAATTATTCACTGAATGTCAGGTGTGGAACTGAAGCTGATCTATCCATCAGTGCTATCATATCATGGCTAGTTATAATTTTTCATAAAAGCTATTGCTGGGATTTCATGCTCTATTTTTGCCAGTTTAAGGGTCTATTTGTATTAGATTTTGGTCAAAATAATTTTTATACGTATTGATGTTTAAAGATTTGATTTTGAAGAAATTGAGGTAAAAAAATAATTTCAGAAATGATATTTTAAAAGTGAGGTAGGAGAATTGATTTTGTTTGGATGGTAGGTAGTATCACTTTTGGAGGGTAATATTGATATTTTTCTGGATCTCTGACCCAAAATCAGTTCTTTTATCAGAAAAGTTAAACATTTCCAATTCTCTCAAAATCAATTCTACTTGCTGCAAAATTGATTTTGAAAAGTTTAGAAGACACCCAAACAAGAAATGTACTATACAAAAGAAGTTAACATCCTGAAACAGGAATTTAAACTGCTATCAAAACAGACACTTAGTTTTCCTCTATCAATTCTCACATCTGCTAAATTATTGAAAAAGTAATTTTGATTGAAGTTCTGTATGTATTTTGCACTTTTGTGCTGATTGAACGCAAAACTCTATTTTGTATTGGATTTTTTATTATTATTATTATTTCTTCTTTCAAGAATAGGGCAGCGATTAGTCGACATTGACTGGACAAGAAGGATGGAATTCTTATGTTTCAAACAAAAACACGTGGAGAAATGTTACCTGCACACATCAAACTATAATGTTAAGGCAATTGTTAATTATGAAAGGTTTTTCTCAAAATTAGCTCTATCGAAAAAGGTAGACTTAATGTGCAAACACTTCAATCTTTTTTTCCTGGGAAGACTACAGGGACTAAAGATAATTGTAATGCTTATATATTAGTGAAAAACTTATGCAATTAGATAGTCCCAAAGCTAGATACTGCATAAATAGGTGCCACAAGCTTACACTTATCTATAGTATACATGAGTACATTGCATGGTCTGTCATACACAGTTCACACACATTATTTCTTCTCATTTTAGTGGATTTTCCTGCATGCTCTTCACAAACCAGTTGACAAGTAGCAACTTGGACACTGGTAAGGAACATCATTAATGTCTTTGCATAGTCCTTCTATTTAACATTTTAGTTGAGGATTATGAAATATTTGTAGCCCAGACTAATGTGATAATTGGATAAGGTCGTGATCCTCAAAACTGAGTTTGATATTCTTTATTATTATTATTATTGCCTCATGAACTCTTGCTAGTTTTCAGATTATACTATGGCTTTATGTATCATTGTTTTCCATTCACGTATGCCAGCGATCACTCTTGATCAGTAGTGATTTTCCAGTGCTCAAGTATTCTGATCCCTTGTGCTTCTGATGCATCTGATACTCTGTAGGAACTACTGCAAATGTTTGGCTTGCCATATATTATTGCTCCAATGGAAGCAGAAGCGCAATGTGCTTATTTGGAACATGAGAAACTAGTTGATGGTGTTGTGACTGATGACTCTGATGTTCTTTTATTTGGGGCACGCAGTGTTTACAAAAATATATTTGATGACCGCAAATATGTAGAGACATACTTCATGGAGGTCTATATTTGTTAAAAGCTGTTTCTGTGAATAAAATTCTGTTGTAAAAAACAAATTCATTTTATGCTTTTCTCTATGATTGGTTCAGGACATTGAAAAGGAGCTTGGATTGACCAGAGAAAAATTAATACGCATGGCTTTACTTCTTGGGAGTGATTATACTGAAGGTGTAAGGTATGATGACCCTTACCTTGTTAGAGTATATTTTTTTCTTTTTTGGCTAGTGACCCAATCCCTTTAAGCATGGAAATGTTGCTGAATATCTATATCTATATTTTTTGTCCAACTTGTAATAACAAGATATTTGGTAGATGTCCTTTCAATCATTTCTTTTGTAGTAGGATTTCTGTGGTATACTTATATATAGGTTTTGCATGCTAATGTAGTGGGATTGGCATTGTTAACGCTATTGAGGTTGTTAATGCATTCCCTGAGGAAGATGGCCTCCAGAAGTTCCGACAATGGGTTGAGTCACCAGATCCCACTATCCTTGGAATGTTAGATGCAAAAGGTGGATCGAATACTAGAAAAAAGGGGTCAAAAGTTGAAGAAAAGATAAATCCATCAAATTCCGATATTAAAGAGTCGGCATCAGATAAGAACATCTCCTGTGCTCACGAGCAAAACAAGTTGCTAGGTTACATTCAAGAAATAAAGCAAACTTTCATCAATAAGCATGTAATTAATTTCCAGCCTTTTGTGCTCTCCAGTAAAATAATGAAGGATAGTTTTGCTCTTACTGTATTATGTTTGTATGTGACTTTCTTTATTTTCTTTTTTAATAGAGAAATGTTAGCAAGAATTGGCATATTCCATCTTCTTTTCCAAGTGAAACAGTTATATCTGCTTACTATTCGCCAAATGTTGATAAGTCCACTGATCCTTTCACATGGGGAAAGCCAGACCATCTTGTTCTTCGCAAGTGAGTTCATAAGTGTATTTACTTGTTTCCATAACCCTTATTTCCACTAAATGACCATTCAGTTCATTAGTAACTATATAACGCATTAGATTTACTTTAAAAGGATCACATAGGAGGTTAGTCAATCATTTCTCTTCATGTATTTTGTTAATGGTGGTTCTGCTCAAACTGTTTATTGACCCAGCAGGGTGGCGGAGCATTTTAGTAAAGTACACCTTACTTGATGCTGTAACTGACCTTTATAGAGTGTTGGATTAGTAGTGATCTGGTCCATGATTAGTTGACAGTTACTTTGTACTTGTTGATTTGTAATATGTTTCAGCTTTGATTTTTTGGATGGATTTTAAAGTCGATACTTTGTGCTATGTGTGAGCACTATGCCTTGATAAACTTGCAGTCTTCCCTGATATTGGTCCATGATTTTCTCTCAAATTATAAATCTGAACATGATTATCATATATCTCAACATTTGAGATACTATTGATCACCCTTTTGAATATTCTTAATCTGTTTTTTAACCTGTATTGAATATGTATGTGTTTATTCTATGATAATCTGAGTTATTTCCTGTGCATAGATTATGCTGGGAGAAATTTGGGTGGACTTTCCAGAAAGTAGATGAATTGCTATTACCTGTGTTAAAGGAGTACAACAAACACGAGGTCAGAAACTTTGTCTTGTTGATCTCCTCCCTGTTTTTACTGGAACTGTTTTATATTTTTATTGTGTTAAAAGTTGAAATTATTTTGATCACTATATATTATATAAGCAAGCTTTCTAATTGTTGATTTTATTGTCCTCTCAATACTCCTAATTATTAGGAATATCCTGATACTAGTTTAATCTTTAATGTAGACTCAATTGCGGTTGGAAGCATTTTACAGTTTTAATGAAAGATTTGCCAAAATCCGCAGCAAAAGAATTGAGAAAGCAGTAAAAGGAATTACTGGTAAGCAGCCTATAAATGGTTCTGCAGAAGAGTTGTCCAAGAGTAGAAAGACAGGGAGAGAACCTGAGGATAGCACATTGGAGGCTTCAAGGGGAACAGAAGAAAGTCTTGAAGGTAGAAGTAAATCAAAAATAAAACCGTCAAGGAAAAGGAAGAATGATGGGAATACTGTTGCTAAGGTGAAGTCAAAGAAAATGAAAGTTAATGACGATCCCTCTTCAACACCTGGTAAATCTGAGATGGAAAATTTACAGCCAAGTATGGAGACAGAAGAAGAGCAGTTTGATGGTAAGGCATTTATTCAGAATAGAAGTGGAAGAGGCAGAGGAAGAGGTAAAGGTATGGGAATAAAAAGAGGAAGGGAAAAGGAAAGACTCGGTTTTCAATCTTGTGAAACTGAAACGTCATTTGGGAGCAGTGACATTGATGATCATGGGGAAAAACCAAGCC